GTTTGGAAAGAACACGCAACATTATGTGTGGAGAAAAAAAGGCACAGCACATCAACATCAAAACCTCATCCCAAATGTAAGGTATGGTGGAGGGAGCATCATGGTTTGGGGCTGCTTTGCTGCCTCAGGGCCTGGACAGCTTGCTATCATCGACGGAAAAATGAATTCCCAAGTTTATCAAGACATGTTGAAGGAGAATGTAAGGCTGTCAGCCAATTGAAGCTCAACAGAAGTTGGGTGATGCAACAGGACAACAACTCAAAACACAGAACTAAATCAACAACAGAATGACTTCAACAGAAGAAAATATGCCTTCTGGAGTGGCCCAGTCAGACTTCAAGAGAGCGGTTCACACCATACATCCCAAGAATATTGTTGAACTGAAACAGTTTTGTAAAGAGGAATGGTCCAAAATTCCTCCTGACTGTTGCCCAGGTCTGATCCGCAACTACAGAAAACGTTTCGTAGAGGTTATTGCTGCCAAAGGATGGTCAACCAGTTATTAAATCCAAGGGTTCACATACTTTTTCCACCCTGCATTGTGAATGTTTACACAGTGTGTTCAATAAAGACATGAAAGCGTATAATTGTGTGTTATTAGTTTAAGCTGACTGTGTCTCTATTGTTGTGACTTAGATGAAGATCAGATCAAATTGTATGACCAGTTTATGCAGAAATCCAGGTAATTCCAAAGGGTTCACATACGTTTTCTTGCCACTGTATATTTTTCTCACCCATCTACACACAAGACCCCATATTGACAAAGTGAAAACATGTTTTTAGAAATGTTTGCATATTTATTGAAAAATGTAAATTTGAGAAATATCTCATGACATAAGTATTCACATGACACTCCAAATTGAGCTCCAGTGCATCCAATTTTCTTTGATCATCCTTGAGATGTCACTGACTTGATTGGAGTTCTCCTGTGGTCAAGTCAATTGTTTTGGACTCGATTTTTAGAAAGAAACACACCTGTCTGTATAAGGTCCCACAGTTGACAGTGCATGTCAGAGAAAAAACTATACCATGAAGTCCAAGGAACTGTCTGTAGATCTGAGATAGAATTGTGATGAGGCATACAGTGTGGGAAAAAAGTATTTGATCCCCTGCTGATTTTGCACGTTTGCCCACTGACAAAGAAATGATCAGTCTATAATTTTAATGGTAGGTTTATTTGAACAGTGAGAGACAGAATAACAACAAAAAAATCCAGAAAAACGCATGTCAAAAATGTTATAAATTGATTTTTCATTTTAATGGGGGAAATAAGTATTTGACCCCTCTGCAATACATGACTTAGTACTTGGTGGCAAAACCCTTGTTGGCAATCACAGAGGTCAGACGTTTCTTGTAGTTGGCCACCAGGTTTGCACACATCTCAGGAGGGATTTTGTCCCACTCCTCTTTGCAGATCTTCTCCAAGTCATTAAGGTTTCGAGGCTGACGTTTGGCAACTCGAACCTTCAGCTCCCTCCACAGATATTCTATGGGATTAAGGTCTGGAGACTGGCTAGGCCACTCCAGGACCTTAATGTGCTTCTTCTTGAGCCACTCCTTTGTTGCCTTGGCCGTGTGTTTTGGGTCATTGTCATGCTGGAATACCCATCCACGACCCATTTCAATGCTCTGGCTGAGGGAAGGAGGTTCTCACCCAAGATTTGACGGTACATGGCCCCGTCCATCGTCCCTTTGATGCGGTGAAGTTGTCCTGTCCCCTTAGCAGAAAAACACCCCCAAAGCATAATGTTTCCACCTCCATGTTTGACGGTGGGGATGGTGTTCTTGGGGTCATAGGCAGCATTCCTCCTCTTCCAAACACGGCGAGTTGAGTTGATGCCAAAGAGCTCAATTTTGGTCTCATCTGACCACAACACTTTCACCCAGTTCTCCTCTGAATCATTCAGATATTCATTGGCAAACTTCAGACGGGCATGTATATGTGCTTTCTTGAGCAGGGGGACCTTGCGGGCACTGCAGGATTTCAGTCCTTCACGGCGTAGTGTGTTACCAATTGTTTTCTTGGTGACTATGGTCCCAGCTGCCTTGAGATCATTGACAAGATCCTCCCGTGTAGTTCTGGGCTGATTCCTCACCGTTCTCATGATCATTGCAACTCCACGAGGTGAGATCTTGCATGGAGCCCCAGGCCGAGGGAGATTGACAGTTATTGTGTTTCTTCCATTTGCGAGTAATCGCACCAACTGTTGTCACCTTCTCACCAAGCTGCTTGGCGATGGTCTTGTAGCCCATTCCAGCCTTGTGTAGGTCTACAATCTTGTCCCTGACATTCTTAGAGAGCTCTATGGTCTTGGCCATGGTGGAGAGTTTGGAATCTGATTGATTGATTGTTTCTGTGGACAGGTGTCTTTTATACAGGTAACAAGCTGAGATTAGGAGCACTCCCTTTTAAGAGTGTGCTCCTAATCTCAGCTCGTTACCTGTATAAAAGACACCTGGGAGCCGGAACTCTTTCTGATTGAGAGGGGGTCAAATACTTATTTCCCTCACTGTATATCTGGGGACAGGTATAAAACAATTTCTAGCGTGTTGAATTTTTCCAAAAGTATCATCATCTCCATCACTGGGATATTTTAGCCCCGTGTAGCTCAGTTGGTAGAGCATGGCGCTTGCAACGCCAGGGTTGTGGGTTCGATTCCCACGGGGGGCCAGTATGAAAAAAATATATACATATTCACTCACTAACTCTAAGTCGCTCTGGATAAGACCGTCTGCTAAATGACTAAAATGTAAATGTAAAATATTGAAGAAATATGGAACTACCCACACTGTCCGCCCAAACTGAGCAACCCGAGCAAAAAGGACCTTGGTCAGGGAGGTGACCAAGAACCCAATGACAGCTCTAACAGAACTACAGAGTCTCTACAGCACTAGACCAATCTGGGCTTTATGGGAGCGCGGCCAGATGGAAGCCACTTCTGAGAAAAAGGCACATGCACGACTGGAGTTAGCAAGAAGGCACGTGAAAGACTGAGATCATAAGGCAAAAGATTCTGTGGTCTGATTAGATAAAAATGGAACTCTATGGCCTGAATGCAAAGTGCTATGTCTGGAGAGAACCAGGCACAGCTAATCACCTGTCTAACACCATCCCTACCGTGAAGTATGGTGGTGGCAGCATCATTGATATTTGTGCATCTAACTTTCTCACTCATCATTATTCACGATTCATTCAGGACTATCCGTAATCATGGTAGCATCCACATTAATGTAGAAGTGTTTAGAAATTATTATATTCTTATTTACAATAAAAACAACTCAAATTCATTTCTATTGGGCACAAAATTATCTGAAACACAACCGAAACATCCAAGTTTGAGCAGCGATGCAGAGAAGCATATTTTGTTTCTTTAAAAAAAGAACCACAAGTCAGGAGGAGACAGACAGCTCAAGAGTTTCCCACGGGGGACCAGTATGAAAAAAATGTATGCACTCACTAACTGTAAATCGCTCTGGATAAGAGCGTCTGCTAAATGACTAAAATGTAAGAGGTATGATTAGATATGCAGAATAATTGACATTTGTTTTGACATTTAATTAAGAATAATGATTATGGCTCTAGATTTCATGAAAAAGCTGTTTCAGGTGTTTGAAAAATTCAAAATTCTCCAACTTCCAGACGGAGGGGGCCGGCCGCCTCAGATTTTTGGGTTGCGTGACGCCCCTTCGACCATGCAGTGTATTCCCTTATGCTAAATATTTTTTTCCCCTTGGTAGTTGAGCTTTTGTGACATGTCCTGCGATCCCTCAATATCATTCCCACTTTCCTTCCCATTTGAGAGGGCTGTGATATTAAGAGCCAAAGATTTCACATCTGTGGAGTCCACACTGTCAATGTGCCTCTGTCTATTCCATCCTACAGGGCTCTCTCTCTCTCTTGCTCGCTCTGCGCCAGGATCCTAATCATGCTCCCATATCTAATTCCCTCTTTCTTTCTTTCTTTCTTGGGAACCTTGAGGTAATGACACAATTTCTCAGTACAGCTCCCTGGATGATTAACAGACCTGCAGCATCCCTCCCTAAAATCCCCCATCATGCCGTGCTCTCTGACATTGACATTGATTTGAACAGGGAGCTTCTTTCTCATTATGCTATACCGCACCGCTGCTGAAGTGGTATGGAGGGATATAGTGATGGGTGGGTGAGGGGCCCCCCCCTCCCTGAAGGTCTGACTGCCCCCCCTCCCTGAAGGTCTGACAGCCCCCCCCTCCCTGAAGGTCTGACTGCCCCTCCCACACACTCTCACACAAATGCATACATACAAGCACACTACACAGGTGTTTCACACACAAACAATAATACATTCACACATACAGCTGTCTCACGCACACACATAGCAAAACATACATACATAGACGCGCACACACACACACACACACACACCACAAAATCTTCCCCCAGAGAGTTCCTAGCTAGACACTCCGGGCCCCAGAGCTCCCACCCCCCAGCCTGGCCTTCCTAATGAGGACTGGCCCCTCAGTGTTTGATCCTGTAGCCAACCCGAAGGCCCCCAGCCCCCCTAGCGCCCCCAGCCTCATGCATATTCAACACACACCTCAGACTCCATACTTATACTCCCATTGCCCTGGGTAGACTATGGATCCACACCAAATTGCTCCTGGGTGGCTGTTCGATATCAAAGGCAGTCAGACAGAAGAACCGTGTATCTGTGAAAACGACCCGCTGTACTACAACTGCACCATTTGATTTCTTCTGTTTCCTTCCTTTTCGCAGATATTCATAAATTATTTTACGTAATAACGTTTGGCCTTTCCTACTTTCCAAACTGCAGCAGCATGGAAATCCTTTGAAATGAACGTACAATGTGTCAATAACTATTAAATGCTAAATGGTGCTGGATGCTGGTACATAACTGGAGCCATAACATTTCAATACTATACTGTGTATCAAATGGGCATAGCAATAGCAGTATCGTAATGGTTTGTTTCCTCTCTTCCTCCCTCACCCTCTGTCTCCAGGACGGAGGTCTCCTCATCAACAACCCCACAGCGTTGGCTATCCATGAGTGCAAATGCCTGTGGCCCAATACGCCTGTCCAGTGTGTGGTGTCACTGGGTACGGGCCGCGTGGAGACTGCTGGCAAGAACAACACCACCTACACCAGCCTCAAGACCAAGCTAACCAACGTCATCAGCTCTGCCACCGACACAGAGGGTAAGTCTGGGTGGGTCCATGTACCCTTTGATATAAATCCTATAGTACATCTCCACATCACTTCAGCAATACACCACCCGTGTAACTATGTTCGAATGAACACTGATTCTCACCACATGTTCCCAGTAAGGATGAAATGAATGCAGTCTGTGGTTAGAGTAGAATCGGTATACCTACACAGCCCCTGCATGACTTCAGATCAACACAGCCTGTACACACCTCATCTCTGTACACACCTCATCTCTGTACACACCTCATCTCTGTACACACCTCATCTCTGTACACACCTCATCTCTGTACACACCTCATCTCTGTACACACCTCATCTCTGTACACACCTCATCTCTGTACACACCTCATCTCTGTACACACCTCATCTCTGTACACACCTCATCTCTGTACACACCTCATCTCTGTACACACCTCATCTCTGTACACACCTCATCTCTGTACACACCTCATCTCTGTACACACCTCATCTCTGTACACACCTCATCTCTATACACACCAACACAGCCTGAAAGCCACACTGTCTTACACGCTGAGAGGGGTGAGGTTGTCGCAGTGAGTGCCGTGGTGCTGGGGGAGAGTGTTTTTGAAGAGGAAAGAGGGTTTTAATCTGCTGGTTATAAATAACCCCTCTGATGAGAGGGGAGAGGGGTGTAGAGCAGGGAAGATTCATCCTAAACTACAGGAGCACCACACAGAGAGCCACAGCAGCACTCATCTGGGTCACTACTACTACACCACTGATACTACACAGAGGACAGCCAGTCACAGTGCTGCAACACAGAGGACGGCCAGAGTCACAGTGCTGCAACACAGAGGACAGCCAGTCACAGTGCTGCAACACAGAGGACGGCCAGTCACAGTGCTGCAACACAGAGGACGGCCAGTCACAGTGCTGCAACACAGAGGACGGCCAGTCACAGTGCTGCAACACAGAGGACGGCCAGAGTCACAGTGCTGCAACACAGAGGACGGCCAGAGTCACAGTGCTGCTACACAGAGGAAGGCCAGAGTCACAGTGCTGCTACACAGAGGACGGCCAGAGTCACAGTGCTGCAACACAGAGGACGGCCAGAGTCACAGTGCTGCAACACAGAGGACGGCCAGAGTCACAGTGCTGCAACACAGAGGACGGCCAGAGTCACAGTGCTGCAACACAGAGGACGGCCAGAGTCACAGTGAATGCAGTTTTAGATGATCTCCCGAGTGGCGCAGTGATCTAAGGCATTGCAGTGCTAGCTGTGCCACTAGAGATCCTGGTTCGAATCCAGGCTCTGTCGTAGCCGGCCGCGACCGGGAGACCCATGGGGCGGCGCACAATTGGCCCAGCGTCGTCTAGGGTAGGGGAGGGAATGGCCGGCAGGGGATGTAGCTCAGTTGGTAGAGCATGGTGTTTGCAACGCCAGGGTTGTGGGTTCGATAAAATAATGTATGCACTAACTGTAAGTCGCTCTGGATAAGAGCGTCTCCTAAATGACTAAAATGTAATGATCTATATCTCTAGGGTGGAGTGTGTTTTTATAATGAGATCAGTGAAAAATGTAACACTAAAAAGCAGTCCCTCTTCCATCATCTGAGCGAGCTTGTGTTGATAATGATATTATATAGAGCATTGGTTGGGACCCAGAATCCACCACACACGGTCTCCAGATATGTCATCTGAACGGTGTGTTGAAAAGAGTCAAACTCACTCAATCATTCAGTTATTATGTACTATAATGGAACATGTCTTATCTCCTGAACTGAGACTCACCTCACTCACGTCTCAGTGGGAACATAACAGCTGCTGTAGTGTGAACTGCTTCAGGATTGTTTGAACTAAAACCACTGACTTGATGGGTTCTTACTGAGAAAAGTAGTGAGGCTTGATGTGATCGTTAGATATAGTGATAATTAGTCTCCAGGTGTGTAGTTTGACGATAGTGTTGTAGTTCTAATAGAAGCAGTGTTTTAGCTCCTGAACTAACACCAACCTCAACCTCACTCCCATTTCTCTGAGAACGTTGATACTTGTTGAACAAGCCCCTTCAGGCACATCTAGACTATGTCAGCTGCTGTTTCCTGTTGAACAAGCCCCTTCAGGCACATCTAGACTATGTCAGCTGCTGTTTCCTGTTGAACAAGCCCCTTCAGGCACATCTAGACTATGTCAGCTGCTGTTTCCTGTTGAACAAGCCCCTTCAGGCACATCTAGACTATGTCAGCTGCAATTTCCTATTGTTTCTACCTCTAGACACAGGTGTGTGTGTGTGTGTGTGGTGTGAGAGCTCAAACATTCCCACTCCTAAATGTTAGTCCATCTGAAAGCATGCAGTCCTGTCATATTGCTTCCAGAATGGTTCTGACTAGCTTTGCCCTCATGACTCTCTCTCAAACTTCAGACTGTTTACACACCTTTACTTTTATGTGTTTATTTCTGTGTGTGTCTTGGGATATTCCATTGTGGCCCACAATTTATCTTAACGTTTTTGGGATTTTTAAGATATTTGGCATATATTTGACTTTTTTATTATTTAAAAATAGTTATTCAAAGTTGATGTATTTGTGACATTTTGACCTGTTAGTGTTTTCCTGTTTTTGTGTAACCTTCCCAACCCCCTCCGTATTCTCCCAATCAGAAGTCCACATCATGCTGGATGCCCTCCTTCCCCCTGACTCGTACTTCCGCTTCAACCCCTATATGAACGAGGACATTGCCCTGGACGAGAGCCGTGGTGAGAAGCTGAACCTGCTGCAGGCCGAGGGGCTCCGCTACCTGGACAGGAACCAGGAGAAGCTGCAGAAAGCTGCCCGGATACTCACCAGGGACAAGACCGCCGTCCAGAGGCTGGCAGAGTGGGCCAAGCTCAAACATGACATGTACGATGGTATTCCCATCTTCAACTCCAAGCTGTAGGGGAGTAGGTCCCAGGCTCCACCACCACCACACATCATGAAACTACCTTCAACTAAATCTGGACTCTCCTAACACTGAATACATACATAGAACAATAGAATTAGAATGCATACATTAGCCACTGTGGTTACACTGTGGTGTATTTTAGATCGGTAGAATACGTTTACTGTCGTGTGGAGTTATAATTTCTGCAGGGATCACATCGGAAACACACTATATATGCATGTATGCACTCCGTCTACTGTTATGGAAGTAGCTTTGGATAAAAGTATAATGTATTATATAATATACTGTAACTTACCCCCAACACTGCCCTCCTACTCACTCCAGCCCATAGACTTGTCAGCAGCATTGCTGTTTTTATACTGCACCCACTTGACAGTGACTGTGTACCTGGATGCTGCCTTCTGGCAGCACTTGACTTGGGAGGACGGACTCTTTGTTTTATTGGAAGAAATGACAGGTGTTCTGTAGAGAGCGAGAGAGCTGTCTGAATGGTGAAGCGCGGTACCGTCTGTCAACATCACCGACATCATTTTGCTTATTATGATACTCTGTAAGCTAGAGTAGATAACTTACCAATACCCCGCTAAGATATCTATGTAGTGCACTACTCCCCATAGGACTCTGGTCAAAAGTAGTGCACTATATAGGGGATAGGGTGCTATCACAGCCAGTATATCCTGACACTATTCATTTATATGAGAATATCTGGGATACATTTAGGATTTAAATAGTTTTCAGTTTGTTGTTTTTAACTTTGGTGGCAGATTGGATTCAAGTTAATCAATAACTTCATTTTAAGGACCGTAAACAAACGTAAAAATGTTGGGGGGGGGAAATCACTATCTTGTCATGTCCAACGGTTGGATATCAAGGTTTTACTTGAACGTACGCCTCAGAGAAAGAATAATGGCTGGTCATTTGACATTTCTGTTTCTTGCACTTTTTAACACCAATGCAGCTAGTGGCCCTTCATTTGATTGTTTTATTGTTGATGCTGATATTGGTACATACATGAGGGTGCAACTTCTGGACATGTGCTGTATAAATCATTTTATAAAAAATTGTATTTAGCCACTGACCTGGCTAGCTCGCACATACAGCTGCTTTAAATCACAGAGTAGAGTTCTAATCAGGATGTATAATTTATGTAGCCTATAAGCTGCTAAATGTTCACTGTGTGATTTTAAGAATTATATTATATAAAATTAAGATTTTAAGTGTTATAGAACAATGACTTGACAATGTGTATTACTATTTTGAAATTGTAGATATAGTTTGAAATGCATTAAGATGTAAAACGCTCCTGAATGAAGTCTGAATTTAGAATTGAATCCATGCTGTTTTATTTTATTTTTGCTCAGTCATTTAAATGCTTCGATAATTTATTTGCGTGAGCGATGTTGATGTTATGGATCCACTAATAACATGTTATAAGCTCTTTCCCCATCTCCAATCTGCCGTTTCCAGACCTGGGCTCAAGTACTATTTAAAATAATTTAATACACTTAGATTTAACGGGATCTTAAACACTTACTAATTCGGGACATATTTTAAGAATTGGAAGTCTGTTACATATCATACGAAATGGATGATGTACACAATTGTGCATACATTTCGGGGACCCGTTTTCTTGTGAGCGCTACTTTCAAAACTGCTGGCTGAAATTATACAAAACCTTTTATAACGCATCTTTAAGCCGTGCTTGATTCAGCTTGCCTGGCACAATGAAACCAATAGAATAGTCCCAAAATGGCAAACTCTGCCCACCCGCACTCCAGGCAGGCTAAAGCAAATGCTCAAAGTATTTGAAAGATTTCCAATAGTATTTAAACCCAGGTATGTTTTCCAATGTCTCTCATCTCCATCCTAGTAACCCTGAAGTGCTGTTTTCCCTGTGTTATGCAACCCTCTGCCATGTTGTGGCTGTTTTCCCTGTGTTATGCTATCCTCTGCCATGTTGTGGCTGTTTTCCCTGTGTTATGCAACCCTCTGCCATGTTGTGGCTGTTTTCCCTGTGTTATGCTATCCTCTGCCATGTTGTGGCTGTTTTCCCTGTGTTATGCTATCCTCTGCCATGTTGTGGCTGTTTTCCCTGTGTTATGCAACCCTCTGCCATGTTGTGGCTGTTTTCCCTGTGTTATGCTATCTCTGCCATGTTGTGGCTGTTTTCCCTGTGTTATGCTATCCTCTGCCATGTTGTGGCTGTTTTCCCTGTGTTATGCTATCCTCTGCCATGTTGTGGCTGTTTTCCCTGTGTTATGCTATCCTCTGCCATGTTGTGGCTGTTTTCCCTGTGTTATGCTATCCTCTGCCATGTTGTGGCTGTTTTCCCTGTGTATGCTATCCTCTGCCATGTTGTGGATGTTTTCCTGTGTTATGCTATCCTCTGCCATGTTGTGGCTGTTTGCCCTGTGTTATGCTATCCTCTGCCATGTTGTGGCTGTTTTCCCTGTGTTATGCAACCCTCTGCCATGTTGTGGCTGTTTTCCCTGTGTTATGCAACCCTCTGCCATGTTGTGGCTGTTTTCCCTGTGTTATGCTATCCTCAGCCATGTTGTGGCTGTTTGCCCTGTGTTATGCTATCCTCTGCCATGTTGTGGCTGTTTGCCCTGTGTTATGCAACCCTCTGCCATGTTGTGGCTGTTTTCCCTTTGTTATGCTATCCTCTGCCATGTTGTGGCTGTTTGCCCTGTGTTATGCTATCCTCTGCCATGTTGTGGCTGTTTGCCCTGTGTTATGCTATACTCTGCCATGTTGTGGCTGTTTGCCCTGTGTTATGCTATCCTCTGCCATGTTGTGGCTGTTTGCCCTGTGTTATGCTATCCTCTGCCATGTTGTGGCGTTATACTGCTAGTTTGAATCATGCTGGTGTAGCAGAGGGACTGTGTTCGATTATAGGCTGCTGCTTACTGCACTGCTGCTGTTGCTCAGCCACTGTTACATTAGTGATGTGGCTGGCGAATGATGATGACATAGCTTAAAGATCTTACACAGCGTAGACTAATTTCAACTGTCCGTATTCATCAAGCATCTCAGAGTGGGAGTGCTGAAGTCCTCTCTATCCATATAATCTAATTAATTATGATCAAAAAGGCAAAGCTGATCCTAGATCAGTAGTCTATACTACTGAGACGTGATAAATAGGATCCCAGGTTGCTGACTGTGTAGTCAGGATGATGATGATGATGATAATGTCTTCATCACTCCTGAGGGACCGAAGGCAAGATGGACATAGATATTGACTTTAATTCTACCATTCTCCTATTGATCTGATTGTAAGGACTGTGTGTGTGTGTGTGTGTGTGAGCATGTATATTGTGTAATTAAAATGCATCACTGAAGCACTCTGGTACTTCTTGCCTCGTTATTATGGAGATTACAGTGAGGGGAAAAAAGTATTTGATCCCCTGCTGATGTTGTACGTTTACCCACTGACAAAGAAATGATCAGTCTATAATTTTAATGGAAGGTTTATTTGAACAGTGAGAGACAGAATAACAACTAAAAAATCCAGAAAAACGCATGTCAAAAATGTTATAAATTGATTTGCATTTTAATGAGGGAAATAAGTATTTGACCCCCCCTCAATCAGAAAGATTTCTGGCTCCCAGGTGACTTTTATACAGGTAACGAGCTGAGATTAGGAGCACACTCTTAAAGGGAGTGCTCCTAATCTCAGCTGTTACCTGTATAAAAGACACCTGTCCACAGAAGCAATCAATCAATCAAATTCCAAACTCTCCACCATGGCCAAGACCAAAGAGCTCTCCAAGGATGTCAGGGACAAGATTGTAGACCTACACAAGGCTGGAATGGGCTACAAAACTGTCGCCAAGTAGCTTGGTGAGAAGGTGACAACAGTTGGTGCGATTATTCGCAAATGGAAGAAACACAAAATAACTGTCAATCTCCCTTGGCCTGGGGCTCCATGCAAGATCTCACCTTGTGGAGTTGCAATGATCATGAGAACGGTGAGGAATCAGCCCAGAACTACACGGGAGGATCTTGTCAATGATCTCAAGGCAGCTGGGACCATAGTCACCAAGAAAACAATTGGTAACACACTACGCCGTGAAGGACTGAAATCCTGCAGCGCCCGCAAGGTCCCCCTGCTCAAGAAAGCACATATACATGCCCGTCTGAAGTTTGCCAATGAACATCTGAATGATTCAGAGGAACAGCTGAATGATTCAGAGGAGAACTGGGTGAAAGTGTTGTGGTCAGATGAGACCAAAATCAAGCTCTTTGGCATCAACTCAACTCGCCGTGTTTGGAGGAGGAGGAATGCTGCCTATGACCCCAAGAACACCATCCCCACCGTCAAACATGGAGGTGGAAACATTATGCTTTGGGGGTGTTTTTCTGCTAAGGGGACAGGACAACTTCACCGCATCAAAGGGACGATGGACGGGGCCATGTACCGTCAAATCTTGGGTGAGAACCTCCTTCCCTCAGCCAGGGCATTGAAAATGGGTCGTGGATGGGTATTCCAGCATGACAATGACCCAAAACACACGGCCAAGGCAACAAAGGAGTGGCTCAAGAAGAAGCACATTAAGGTCCTGGAGTGGCCTAGCCAGTCTCCAGACCTTAATCCCATAGAAAATCTGTGGAGGGAGCTGAAGGTTCGAGTTGCCAAACGTCAGCCTCGAAACCTTAGTGAATGGGAGAAGATCTGCAAAGAGGAGTGGGACAAAATCCCTCCTGAGATGTGTGCAAACCTGGTGGCCAACTACAAGAAACGTCTGACCTCTGTGATTGCCAACAAGGGTTTTGCCACCAAGTACTAAGTCATGTTTTGCAGAGGGGTCAAATACTTATTTCCCTCATTAAAATGCAAATCAATTTATAACATTTTTGACATGCGTTTTTCTGGATTTATTTGTTGTTATTCTGACTCTCACTGTTCAAATACACCTACCATTAAAATGATAGACTGATCATGTCTTTGTCAGTGGGCAAACGTACAAAATCAGCAGGGGATCAAATACTTT